GAGATTGAATTTATTGCAATACAGAATACTTCTACATCCTAACACATTGTTTTAGTGTTCACCATATACTATACAGCATATCTACAATCAATTGGTTATCATTTCCACTTATAATTTATTGTTCTTAACCTTGAACCTGATTTGATTGTATTTACATATTCTTGTTTTTTGGGAAGCATATGATATTGGATTTAGTGATTTTAGTCCCTTCTAGAAGCAATATTCTACAATTCTAGAAAAGTTTTGGTGGAAGTGATTAGCTGCTTTTTTTCGGAATACCTGCTTCTCGGTTATTATCCTTTCAAACATTTTCTACAAAGTATCAAGATGATGGGGTCATATATTTTTCATGATATTTCCCATTGCTTTAGTTTTGTTACTAGCATTCAAAATATTCTCATAATTTTTGCCTTGACTATTACGTTGGTTAAAATTCTTTTGTATTTTCGGAAGTAGTCATGGAAATTGGATGTTTAGAGATAGAGTAAAGCACATGTTTGTTCACAGACAATATTCTTATTCCTTGTGTGATCTATGTAATACTTTTCCATGAAATGTTTAATTTTCTCTTTTTATGAGGAAAGTAGTACATGTTAAAGTGAAGTGAAAGCATTGAGAAAAATTTTCATTTGTGCCAACAGTGTTATGAAAACAGTGTCTCATGATTCCTGCAGCAAGTAGTCCATAAATAATTATATGTTAGCTTTAGTGAATGCTCTACACATGCGTGTATTAGAGGAAGCGTAATGAGGGTCACTTTTTGTTTTTTCAATATAAATCAGTACAAATTGTTCCCACAAACAAGTATGTGCTTTTATATCACAGAATACTTATTAAACTTGTGTTTTCATCACACAAAATAATTAAAAAATCACAAAAACCCTCAAATATCTAATTTCTCATAATTTGCATTTGATTCCATTACCCTCACATGCAGGTAATGTAAGTAACTAAAGAAATATGAAGAAAAACGAACACATCAGTACTTCAAACAATATTTATTTTGTTTACAATAATTGTAGGTATCTGAAGTAATGTGACTGCCATGGTTGTCCAAGATCAGTATCCTATGTCCTAGGCAGTTGGTTAAGTAAGGCTTTTGAAGTGTTTGAGCCATTTGATGAATTCTTCATCCATCCAGCCATTCTTGCTACATGTGTAAATAGCACCAGGGGCGATTTAAACTCATTCAGATCAATTAATTGAATTACTGACTTCATACAGGGCATGAGCCCCCTTTTTCACAAACTGTATTATGAACATTGTCTATCTTCTTGAACGTCAATATATCATTGGATGTACAACGGACATGAGTACCTATCTCAGTTGCAGACATGTCAAATTCTCGTCGATTGTTCAAAGCACATGAGTCGCTGACTCATGTCCATTCTTCTCTCAACAGTTGGTAGCTCTCTGATTTGATAAGAGAACATACAGTTATCCATTGCACAAACTCAGCTATTGGTTCTTTTTGTGATACAGGCTATGAGTACTTGTTTATTTTGAAGTTTGTTTGTGTTTAATATTGTGTTTAGTTTCCTGGGTAAGTAAAAATTATTAAACTACTAACTAACATGTCTGTCTATGTACTATGGAAGATGTCAAAAAATGTGCAAAGAGAAGGATTAAGCATTAGAAATTAATCTTAATTGCATGCAGGTATTTTATTTACCATGCATTCCTGGGCAGGAAAGTTTTTACTATAGACAATTATGTGTTAATACTTTCTGCACACACAATTTGGCCGCTGATAACGCAAACATGTATCAGTATCACAAAGGACTGCAATTAAATTCTCCAATGAGATTTATTCATTCCTGAGGGACTACTTATCAATCTTTATATAAAATAAGTTTTACATGCTCAGTGATGGCTGTCCTGGTCAAAACCAAAATCTTAGTCATTCGTATGTTATTTAGTCTTATTATGAATAATAAATGTGAGAAAATTGTTCACATTTTTCAATGCGGGAACACATTCTTACCCTGGGATTGGGATTTAGGAGTACTGAAAAGAACGTTACTGAGACATGACAGATTATATACTCTACATGAAATTTCCTGTTATGCAATAGGCAGGGAATTGTTTCAAAATAGAACATACGGAAACACAAGAAACTCTAAATTTCAGAGCCTGGTGGCCCAACTTCTTCAAAAAAACCTCTCTCCAGTGAAAGTTTAGGGGAAAAGATCCCACATGATCAAAAAGTGAGCTTTCTACCATCATTGTTTACATTTGTGCACTCAAATGAACATCCCGGTGAGCTAAAACCAAGGGAATTTATTGATGGGATAACTGAACATTCCTTTGTATGTGCAAGAGACCGCTGGAGTTCAGAGAAAAAGTCTATCTTCATAATTGTAGTTGTAGGAAGACGCCAAAAAATTTTTAACTTTTGGCATTGTCAAAAAATCAGGGTTTTTAACGAACATAACACCTGCACTATTCTCTTAAACATCATCCACACTATCCAGCACAAAAATTTAATAAAAAACGATGGGACCATTTTTTGAAAATTAGGAAAGTTTTTTTCTTAAAATGGCATATTTCTTTTGAAATTTAAATTAATTTGCATATTTGTCTCCTCAAACTGAAAAGAAGACTTCACAAACATGAATGCAAATGCTATTCATGAGAAATCGTGGGAATGTTGTTCCTTGCAGCAGATTAGCACTTGTCTGAACTTCTTTTAGATGACCCTTATCATGCCCCTGGCACCCGGAAAAGATTTGTCTGATTACAACTGATGTGATCATTTATCAGATAAAGAATTTATGGCACTGGAATTGACACATCGAGGATGATACAGATGAAATCATTATATTTTACTTTAAATATTATCACTGGAATACTAAGTAGAGACAAAAATGCTAAATTAGTAGTTTTGTAATTGTTTAGGAATACATCAAACCGTTAATTTTGAGAGCATATTTCATTAGTTCTTAAGCATATATTACAAATTTATGAGCATATTTGCATTCATATTTCTCTTTCAAAACAATTAATTTTAGAACTTTAACCCCCACACTGTTCTACGTTCTTGATGCGGATTTAGTTATCTTCACGTGGCAATAGATCAATGGAAATTAAGATTTTCCTACAAAACTTAAATGAAATTACAGAAATGTACTGAAGGCTGCTCCAAAAACTCATTTAACACTCACAATGCCAACACCTAGAAAGTCTTCTACAGGCTATTTGAACAATCCTAAAATACTACATTTGATAAATGATTTCTCTAAAATTTAAAAATATAATTATTTTAAAACAGCACTGTTGGAAACAGCATTTAAACAATTTCCGTTAAGCAGAAAACATCAAATATTTTTTGTCGTCAGAAAGTATTTCTATATTTGTGTTAATGAAACAATCAACATTCATATTACAGTGAATTAATGGTGAGGTGAACAATACATTCTGCCTTTAAATTATTATTTACTTTTCTGTCTATGAATCTTATTAAATAAAGTCTGAAAAAATAGATTCTGCCTCCCTACTTTACCTCTGTAGGAAGAAATGTGTGATTTTTTAAATTTAATATTAATTGTTTGTAATATTAAATAAGGAGTATTCAATCTTTCTTCTCCATGTATATAACAGTACACTTACACCTTTGTTTTCCCCTGTTCCTTAAGTTGAAACTATTTAATAATCAAGAACGGTAAGGTAGTATAGTAGTTTTTCGTCATTAATGATAGCGAACTATAATCAATCTCTCAAGAAAACTATTTCTAACCTTCACATCATGAAAATACATTAAATTATGAAAATCAGCCAGCTGATACTGCTACTCAGCTGACTGGCGGAAGAATAGTTTTCGGAGAGCAATGGGGTCTTCGGCGACGCTCATTTACTATATACCTGGATTTTTATATAGTGGCCGATGACAGTAGTTAGTAGTTACACCTCCTGCCTTAAAAACGAATCTTTTTAGCAGTGGTAGCACATTTACGAGGCCATGAGCCCCATTAAGAAGGACGTTCGCGAATTAATTAAACAGATTAATTTTATACGGCGGGAGGTGTAACAATGACACACGCCATCGGCCACTATAAAAAGTATTGAAGCTGTCAGAAACATCGTCTACTGCTCTGTGCGCTCAGCCGACAAAAGCCGAGCGCGCGAACCACTTCGCTCAAGTGTTGCGTATATTATATTTTAACATGCTGCGAACGCTTTCGTGATCACGAGCGAAATGCTTTCTGAACTTAATTGTAAAATAGCTTTTAATGGATTGGAATCAACAACGTATCTCTAGCACTTGTAAATAATAAACGAAGACAAGCTTAAAAACAATTGCGAATTTTACCAGGTATTTCGCATACGCATCGCTGTTATTTGCGACCTACTTTTTAGAATGAAAAAAAAAAAGTTTTGCATAGGGAAAGAAGCACGTGAAAACGTTCTAGAAAAGTAATCTGGTAATGGGATGTGCTACAAGTAGATACAATTCGAGATAACGATACTGATGGGCAACAGAAACAAAAAACAAATATGCTAAATCCGGTGTGGATTGCTTATTATTTCCACTATTTAAAAATAAAGCAATAATGAGCATAATATGTAGATTATTTCCTACGAATTATAATTGTGCAGAGTTCAAAACATGCATAAGATACTAAAACGTGTCCAAGTCATGGCAGTGTGGCGGAAGGAGCGTTTACATACGGAACTGCTCACCAACAATAAAATAAAACAACACTTGCAAAAATAATAAAAAATAATTAAATTAAGGTTTACTTCAGACCAGCAAATAATTGGAATATCATATAAAAGCCATCACCAATAACATTAGAATTTGTTGTGTATGTCTTAATAATGTTTTATTTATTAACAGAAATGTTCATGCACGAACTAAATAAGTTTATTCATGAAATACACTGAACACAATTTAGAGAAAAATTATTCCGGATCCTGTTAATGTCTGTACATTTTTAAGACTTCGTTAACACTGAAATAAACATTAACTGAAATTAAGTGCAGCTCCAAAATTATCTTACCTGCATGGATAGAGGACAACACTAATAAAACACACAACAATCGCCAACAAATCATTATTAAGATGAACAGAAATGTCAGTATGGGTTGCTCCGTCACCGGTCCGGTTCTACATAGCTGTACTTTAGGCCCGGCAACAGGCTTGAGAGAATCAGAACGATGCCGTCAACTCGAACACCTCTCCTCTCTCGGGCCCCACATCGAGCGTTTCTGAACTCCCCTCCTCCTAAGCATTGAGGAAAGACAAAAATTGGGCAATACTAAAATTAGTGGTGCTACAGAATGAAACAGACTTTCCCGTATTAGTTTTCTATATCCATTGGTCTCGGCTAGCTACTCGGACATGCCACATACACTTGCCAGATGCCATCTATCGCGGCGCAGTGTACATTTTTTAAATTTTTTTTTCTTAATTTGTATGCATATGGGAAAGCAAAAATGGATTTTAAAACAATTGATGTTTTATTAACAAACGCCAAATCATCGTTTCCACATTTTTTATTGAACAATGGCATTATTTTAAAATTGTTTTAAACTTAAACATTGAACAATATTGCAAATGTTTTGCGATTGTATAATGGCCAACGGGTCTTTTTTTTATTTAGGGTCGCGTCAACTTCTAGGTCATTAGCGGCCACTTGCTTGTAACGGTATGGTAACTGTGAGGATGGCATAATATGATGATGATGAGAGGAGGTGAAAGGACGAACCCAATACAATCATTACCGAGGCGGGACTCGAACCCGTGATTCTTCGGTCCGAGATCGCTACGGCACTACGGCCTTAGCGACCGCTGTCACCGAATCGGCGCCAACGGGTCTTGAAAATAGTTTATGCAATTAGTTCATAATGTTAAGATTTATTGCGTGGGAACATGTTTTGAAAACGAGCGACAGTAAGAGCGTATTTTCAAATCTGTATGAATGTAATAAAGCAACATTATATCAGAGGTGGATCCAGAGACGAATGTGGG